CAATAAAATCTTAGCAAAATTCTCCAAGACTTGTGAATTGATAAAAGATGCATAATGTTGTTTCTGAATAATGAAAACCTAAGTGGAACTCAGGTTCACATTAGGGGCAGAGAGAAGACAAAATTGTTTATCTTCACTTGTTGAAATTTGTAGCAATTTACAAGTTGAAGTTAAACTGAAGTAATGCTTAATGCTTGTTAAAATTCGTAGCAATTTACAAGTTGAAGTTAAGCCGAGATTATTGTTTATCTTCACTTGTTAAAATTTGTAGCAATTTACAAGTTGAAGTTAAGCCAAGATTATTGTTTATCTTCACTTGTTGAAATTTGTAGCAATTTACGAGTTGAAGTTAAGCCGAGATTATTATTTATCTTCACTTGTTGAAATTTGTAACAATTTACGGGTTGAAGTTAACCCGAGAATATTGTTTATCTTCACTTGTTGAAATTCGTAACAATTTACGAGTTGAAGTTAAGCCGAGATTATTGTTTATCTTCACTTGTTGAAATTCGTAGCAATTTACAAGTTGAAGTTAAGCCGAGATTATTGTTTATCTTCACTTGTTGAAATTTGTAGCAATTTACAAGTTGAAGTTAAACCGAAGTAATGCTTAACGCTTGTTGAAATTTGTAGCAATTTACAAGTTGAAGCTAAACCAAAATCATTGTTTGGCACTTGTTATGACTTAAGAAAAGTTTACAAAATTGAAATTAAAACAGTATATGTTAATCCTTATTGAAATTTGTAAGAAATTTACAGGACAAGTACTTGCCGAGGTAAATCGTCAGGTGGCATAACAAAGGTGTGTCACCCCGAGAAGATTGCACAAAGAAGGAAGAGTACATACGACATGCAAAATATTCTAAGTATAGAATCATGCAAGAGCAGTTAGAAGAAGACAAAGATACAAGCATTCAGAAAAAGAAAGGCAAAGACGTGCTTTAGAATCAAGAACAGGGATGGGCTATCAAGAGCATAAAGAATACGAGAAATAAAGGGTCAAGAACAGTAACAAGAGTGCAAGAAAGTGGTGAACAGTATGTATTCAAGATATGGGCAAGATCAAAACCATTTGAATAAATATGTTCATATATGTAATTCGCAAGATTTGAAACAATAATGGCAACAAGTAATGAAGAATATCAACAGAATTGAAAACGAAAGGAGCAGTGGCTTACCAGAAAAAACTTAAGCTGGTATGAAGATTGCCGAAGTCAGACGACAGTTACAGATGTAACAAAAACGACGAAAGCTTCACAGGAAGGGAGAAAGGAAGGCAGTTGCAGAGCTTGAGGACTGGAGCAATGGCGTATTCAGGAGCTAAAGAGAGAAAAAGCGAAGAGAAATCAAAATGCAAAAGTGAAAAATGAAGAAATGGGGAAAGGTTTTGTCAAAAATTTGAAACGGCGGCAAAACGGAGCATTGAATGCGCCTGGAACAACACATACGTCAGACGGCGCACACAGACACAAGACGGCTTGCAAGCGCGTCACAGGCACGGTCCAATGAGGTGAAGATGCGTGAATGAAACGGTTGAGTAAATGATGCGTGACAGCTCACACACGTGAAAGAGTTCACTGGAATTCTTGTTCTCTGAAGAGAACATGTGGGCTTGAAATGAATGGTCTCGGCTGAGAAGTTCTTGAGCCGATGTATAGGAAGAAATACCGATATAGGTTCCATCACCTCAGGATACCGAGATAATAGAACCTAGGGGGCAGTTGTGGGGATATATTTCTGAGTACCAACACATGGCAAGGTGACGCCGACGTGTCAGCCGAGGTACCACATGTCCTGGTCGTTGTGCCGAGGTAATCTCAGTTAGGCCGAGGTTTCCTCCGAAGATATCAGAATCTGAGATAAGCGGATAGGGGACAAGAGTCCAAGAATGAAGAGGAGACTTAGTCAATATGAGGATAAAGCTCTTAGAGAATTTATCTTATCTCTTGAAGAGTCCAAGGTAAGTCCAAAATTGGAGTCCCTAGAAGTCAAGCTTCTAGTGGGACTAGGATTGAGTTAACTATAAAAAGAGAGGCAACCCCGTGGGTCTAAGGTACGCAATTTATACTTTGAGCAGTGAGTTTAGCACTTGATTATCTTTGAGAGATATACTGACTTGATCGTCGGAGTGCCCCCGGGTGGAAGAACCACCGCCGGAGCCTTCTCTTTCTGTTACAGGTTAGCTGAAGCCATCTATTCTGCCGGTGCTCTCTAACTGATTACTAAACGGGCAGTGTGATCAGAAAATCACCCACACACTAGTCTAAGAAATGAGTTTAGTGGAGTGTGTTTTTATGATTTTGTACTATGAAATAGTTAAAAAAATGTTCTAATAAGCTTGATAATGATACTCTTACATATGGCAGTTCACTCCCATATGATAATTCAAAAAGGCCATTTAAAAAAGGGAAATTATCATTCTCGGAGAGTTTTTAAAAATTATTTGAAAATTTAAAAATTTTAATTATTAATATTTATAATATTTATCAATCACCGCTATGTTATTTGCCCTAACTATTAGTTTTAAAATCTATTAAATCAATACAGTGTTGATGCTTTAAATAACAAATAAATTTTAACAAATAAATTTTAACAGATAAATATCATCATAATATTTGGGTAGAGATGTATGTTTTTCTTAAAAGCAAGAACCAGCTGAATGTACCCATGGCCTTCTGCCACAATGATATGCTCTCCATCCCCAATAATGGAGGTTGTGTAAGTTTGAGCAGCGTATGAGGCGTTGGGGTTGATTCCATTTTCCTTTCTTGGATTAGGCTAGTATAGATTTTAGGGCAAATTAGATTGGTGATTCTTATATTTTGTTTCTTGTATTATTTTGATCTCTATATTTTTAATTGGCTTAATTTTGATTTTTAATTTTAGATTTTATGTCAATTTAATCCAATTAATAATGTCATTAGTATTTTTTTTTGGAAAATGATCACTAAAATTAAAAGAATCAAAATAACACTGGAATCAAAGTATAGCGACTATCGTAATAATTTTCCCTAGATCTACCAAGTGACTAAAAAATTCAGCCAACCAAATGTGGATATACTTGTCTTGAGAAGCAAGAGCAAGATAATCAGTTGAATTTTTTAGTTGAATTTTTTAGTTTTGTGGTTTGAAGTCAGAGTATTTTCCCTCATATGGTTCAAAATATAACTAAAAAGCTCCTATGTGATTTTTGGATCAACATGCAATTATTAATTCCGTTGACTATAAACGTAAAAGGATTGGAATACCCCAAAGCCTATGTGTGTTTTTGGTTTTTTTTTTTTTTATCGACAATTGTTAGTTATTAGTTATTAGATTAGCACTTATGAAAGAATCTCCCCACCCTTTGCACTTATGAGAGAATCTCCCCACCCTTTGCAAAACACTTAAATGCTTACACTACCTTAATTCAACTCCTCTGAGGGGAATTGAACCCTTGACTTCCTTAGGATTAAGCCTTAAATTAATCAAACCTTTTAATCTAATTTTAATCAAAATTAAAATTAGATTATTTTGATTAATCAAAATTTTAATCTCATACACATAATTTTTAATTTCTAACATTAATGCAATTAAATCAAAATTAATCATACTTGCACTACTTTAATTCAACTCCTCTGAGGGGAATTGAACCCTTGACTTCCTTAGGATTTTCCTTAAATTAATCATACCTTTTAATCTAATTTTAATCAAAATTAAAATTAGATTATTTTGATTAATCAAAATTTTAATCTCATACACATAATTTTTAATTTCTAACATTAATGCAATTAAATCAAAATTAATCATAAATTATTTATTGTAATTGCTAACCTTTTGATCTAATTTTAATTTAATTGTACTTTATATCACAATCAATCCTAAATCTTTAATTATTTATTGTAATTCCTAATTTTTTAATCTAATTATATTTTAGATCATAATTAATATAAATCATTAATTATTTATTTCTTATAGTTTATAGCATCTTAATATAATTTTAATTTAATTATCTTTTAGATTAATCCTGAATTATTAAATTATATTTTAATAAATTTTTAATTTTGTTTTATATTTTAGATCTATCCATAATTATATTTTAATTTAATTTAATTTTAATTAATATCTTAATATAATTTTAGGTTTGAAGAAGATAGAGCAAAATTATTTTTTTTCTTCTGTTAATTTCACTTTATTTTTACCAAATTCGCTCTAAAAATGAAGTGTGTAATACATCTTCTGTTAATTTGGATAAAAACAATTAACAGTGACACTTTAGCCTCTGTTTGGCAAGTTAGTTTTCAGGCTTTTTTGGCTATTTTAACCACAAAAAACAAAATAGGCTATTTTAGCCATAACAAACAAAACATCACATCCAACCTATAATCATTACATTCTTCTCTCACAAAAAAAGTCAAAAAAGCCAAAAAGTCAAAAAGCCCTTCCCAAACCAAGCTTTTTAGCCCAGGCTAAAATAGCCAAAAAAACCAAAAAGCCAAAAAGTTAACCTACTTCCCAAACCAAGCCTTAGTTGAAAACCACATGAAGGTTTTCTAACTTTATTTGAATCATAGGGATAAAGTGTTCTAATGTCAAACCAGGAGATGATATTTTACTCTAAAAAAACAAAACAAAACAAAACAAAATAAATAAATAAATAAATAAAAACTAGATGTGGACAACCATGTCAAATTTGATAAATAAATTATACGGTGATATTTTAGAAAATTATGTGTGTTTTTTAAGAAACGCTCTGACTGTCCCAATTTGATATTATTAATTTAAGGAATAAAATCCACCAGCTTCATATTATTTTTTGTGAGATAATAAGTTAAATGGGATGGAACATTGGTTCAACACCACACCACCCAATATCCTCTCATGATATTTCTCATTATTTATTTATTTATTTTTAAATGGTCGAGATTTTATGGACTTAAATAGTGGTAGGTATCCTTTTGTTTTGAACCTCATAAATATGCAACTCAAACTGCCTACACACCTTATCCATCCATCCCTCAACCAATATATACGAACAATAGAGAGAGAGTGAGAGAGCATGAACAAGCTCAACTTATTGTGACTTCTCAGCATTGAAAACTTATTGTGACTGTAAAGTTCTCAACAATACATATAAAGAACAAACAGAGAGATGTGAAGATGCTCAACAGACTATACATTGCCATTCTCGCCCTTCAACTTATTCTGACTCTTCTATCCCACACAGTTCAATCATCATCAGACCATCTACAAATAGCACCAATTCCATCACCATGGCCGGAGCGATTCCACGCACTGCTGTACATGAACTTGTCGAGCTCAAAGCTTCAAATCAGCAACCTATGGTACGACTGGCCTAAAGGCCGAAACGTCAACATTATACAGAAGCAACTTGGTGTCCTCCTTTATGACATCGAGTGGAACAATGGCACTAGCTTCTACTACACGTTAGGCAGCCACGGCACATGCATGACAATGCAGTTCGAGGTTGGAATCCTCAGACCGGACTTTCTCGACGGAGCGAAATATGTGGGAACTGCAGTCACTGATGGGTTTCTGTGTAATGTGTGGGAGAAGGTGGATTTCATTTGGTACTATGAGGATGTCCTCACTAATCGCCCTGTTCGTTGGGATTTCTATGATGGTAAGTAAATTGATCATATCCTTCTGTTTATATGTGTGTTATTTGTGATCTATTTGGGTATCCATTGCATACTTTTAACAAAATTCTAGAAAATAATTCTATTTTCTTTTTTAATCTTCTGAATTTATCTTGAAATATGATCTGAGGGCACAAACAGCCAATATCCAACTACAGAAAATTAAAAGTGAAACAATTTGAGTAAAATATATGGTCTTTTAGTGATATGGATCTTGTTTTGTGTTGTTGGTTTTGTATTCCAATACATTTTTTTGATTATCATTGTATCTTTATTAGAGAAGAGAAACCACTATTAATGATTGAAGCACAAATCCTTTTAAATGGTTCAAGCACAACATTGCAATTGTGAAATATTATGAACTTGCATCATTTATCTTAGGCTTGTTTCTTAGGCTTCATTTGGCATCAACAAGTTAAAAAAACTCATTCCGCTAATGCTGTGTTTGGTTGGGGGATTTGAGGAGGGATTTGGAAAGGGAAAAGGAAAAGTTAGGTGAAATGTGAATAAAATATATTTACATTTCACATAGTTTCACACACCTTTTCCCTTTCCCTTTCCAAATCCCTCCCCAAATCCCCCAACCAAAAACACCACAAAAAAATTCTATGTCATTTGGCAAATTCATTTAATAAAAATAAAGAAAACAAAGTTTTTCCAGTCCACAGACCCAATAAAAAATTAGCCTAAAAAAATTATGAATAAGCCAAGCTAACTCACTTTTTCAGTATTAACTTGTTTGAGTTAATAAACTAGTTTTTTAGCAAACTCACAAAAATAAATAACTAACACACTTGTTTGATTTGATTTTTAAAGTTTTGTTTCAGAAAATTTTTCTAAAAATATTAAAGTTAATTTGATGAAAGAAATTTTAAAAAAAATAAAAAATACTTATCATTTTTATATAATTTAATTTCACTTTTATGTCTTAACTTGTAATAAAAAATAGTTGTTAGACTTTAACATGAGTTTCAATGTAGTCGTTATGTCAACCCCATCGTTCAAAAATTGAATGAAAATTAAAACATTAATGATGAAAATAGAATTTGTGTGAAAGTTGGAAGGTGAAAATAACAAAACAAAACAAAAAAATCATAATTTTTCTTATTGCCCTTAAAGTGCACTCACATGTCCATCAGGTGAGCACTTTTTGTCAATCATTTTAACGGTGAGTAACCGGAGAAATACATTGAAATAAGGATTACAATTTGAGAACTTAATTGTTATAATTAAAAGATGAAGGAGCAATGTGAAGTTTGAATAAAAGTTGAAGGATAAGAAGTGTAATTTATCATTTTGTGAAAAGTAAAGGTGCAAGTTCTCAAATTTTCAATCAATCACAATATAAGATGATATTAGTGGCCAAGCATATGCCATTGAAGTCGCCATCATTTGGTTCCTTTAGCCCTATATGTTGCTCTTTTATGAGACAATCATGACTTTTCAACAACCAATCCTTATATTCAATACAGTAATAGAGACCTCACAAAACATAATTTTTATAATTTCTGAAATGATTTGAACCATTTATATTACTATCAACACACAACTCTCAAAAAAAATTTAAACATATCAATGATTAATGAAAAAAATTAGGGATCATAAAAAAAATTTCATAAAAATAATCATAAAAAATTTATAATCCTTAAATTACCTTGATTAATGTATAATATTTTATTCTAAATATAATTCAAAAATTACAAAACTTTCATAATTATTTTCGTGAAAACATTGCTGATGATTAACATATCAATAGGAGTCATGTCTCTTTTGTGGCCCCAAACATGGAATCCGGATCACCCGTCGCCTTCCCCTGTCGCCCTTTCCTGTCGCCCCCAAAACGACGTCGTTTTGGGGGCAATTTTCAGAAGAAAAAAAAACGCAGAGAAGAGGGAGGAAGGAGAGGAAAAGGGAGAGGGAGAGGGAGAGGGAGAGAGAGAGGGAGGGTAGGGAGGAGGAGGAGGCTGCGAGCTCGCCGTCCTCGTCCCTCGCCGCCGTCGCTGCCGTCGCAGCAGCTCCACCTCGTCGCTGCCGTCGCTGCCTCCGCCTCCGACCCGTCTCCACCTCCTCCTCCTCCTCCTCTGTATTTATGGCCCCCTCCAGTCCGGCCCTTCCCCTCCTCCTCCTCCTCCTCCTCCCTCCTCCCTCCCTCTTCCTCTCCTTCCTCCCTCTTCTGCGTTTTTTTTTTTCTGAAAATTCGCCCCCAAAACGACGTCGTTTTGGGGGCGACAGGGTAGTGCTACCGACGATCCGTTCCCGTATGGATCCTATCCAATATGTGGATTTCAGTCTCCTTGGGTCCTGTGAGTGTTGAATGGGATTACACACACTTCCATCTTTTTGCAATTTTTTTTCTCTTAATCATTCTTCATATCTATTAAATTACTAAGATAACCGTAGGAAATGTGAAAATGGATGGTAAAATCGCTAAATCTTATCACCAAGTTTATTGGTTTAAAATAAGTTCATAAATAAATTAATGTTTAAAAAAATTAATTTGTTTAACATATTTTTTTTTATTTTTTTTAATTTTTAAGTTATTTAATTTGAATTTTTTTTATAGAACAAGAGTTACTAAATAACAATCGACTTATTTTAACAACTTAAGCTTATAACCTACTGTATAAACTCTGCCAAATGAGACCTATCAGTGAGGACGTTTAGACTTTGTTTAATTCATAGATTTGGAAATGAATTTAGAAGCAAACAAACAAAAAAAAAACAAAAAAGAAGAAGAAGATGATGATGATGATGATGATGATGATGATGATGATGTTGTTGTTGTTGTGTGAAATATAAGTCAAATGTAATCAAAATCCCTAATTTACTTGACTCATTATAAGGTAGCAAACACTATACTTTGCTTCTTCTAAAATAAAAGTTAGGTACCTATTGGTAACTTGGCTTTTTTAGTTTTTTTTTTTTTTTTTTTAATGAATGACAAAAGTTAGTGTGTTTAGAATGGTATTTTTAGTTGAATTGATAATTATGAAAAAAAGTAATTGATTGTTATGTATGATATGACATTTTAATTTTTTAAATTTTTTTTAATTATTTTAATCGTAAACTTAGCTGCCAAATGGGGCCTTTGAATCCTTAATTTTAACAATATTTCTGAATAATTTTTAAAAGGGTAAATTACACTACTTTAACTTAAATTTCACTTTTGTCTCTCAACTTTTAATAAAAAATAGTTGTTAGACTTTAACATGAGTTTCAATGTAGTCGTTATGTCAACCCCCATCGTTCAAAAATTGAATGAAAATTAAAACATTAATGATGAAAATAGAATTTGTGTGAAAGTTGGAAGGTGAAAATAACAAAACAAAACAAAAAAATCATAATTTTTCTTATTGCCCTTAAAGTGCACTCACATGTCCATCAGGTGAGCACTTTTTGTCAATCATTTTAACGGTGAGTAACCGGAGAAATACATTGAAATAAGGATTACAATTTGAGAACTTAATTGTTATAATTAAAAGATGAAGGAGCAATGTGAAGTTTGAATAAAAGTTGAAGGATAAGAAGTGTAATTTGTCATTTTGTGAAAAGTAAAGGAACAAGCAAAGGGCATCTTTTAAAAAATTATTAGGTGTAAAATGTAACTTTTTATTTCATTTGGGTTAAATTACACTTTTCACCTTCTAATTTTCACAGGAATTTTATTTTAGTTTCTCATTTTTTAATTGTAACAATTAAGACATCAAATTTCAAACCGACCCAATTTTTAATGTAGTCCTTCTGTTATTCCATTATTAAAGTTTCAGCAAAAGTTGAAATATGAAAGGCTAGAGTAAAATTTGAGTAAAAATTGAAAGGTAAATAGTGTAATTTTTTTTTTAATGACCTTAAAATGTGTTCACGTAGCCATCACATGATCACTTTTGGTAAAAAAAAACTTTAATGGTGACGGAAGGACCACATTAAAACAAGGGCTAAAGTATGAGAACTTAATCTTTTTGCAATTAAAAAATGAGTGACCAAAGTGAAATTTAAATGAAAGTTAGAAGGTGAAAAATATAAAGGTAAATTACACTTTTTACCACTATAATTTGACTCTAATTTCACTGTGGTGCTTATTGTTTCAATTTAAACAGTTTAGTTCCTATACTTCTAATCCAATTTTAGTTTGGTCCTTTTGTCTAAATTTTCATTAACTTTTTTTATGTGTATATGTCAAATGATTAACAAGTGTCAAACAATCATTAATTTTAACCTATAAACTTGAATGGAATGATCAAATTGAAACTACTTTTCAAGTGTAAAGACCAAATTGTTCAATTTGAAATAGTATAGATCAAAAATGAAATTTGAATCAAACAATAGGGGTTAGAAGTGAAATTTACCGAAAATATAATTTACTTTTTATTGGGAAAAAGTACAAGTTATGTATATATTGGATGAATGACAAAAAGAAAAAGTACAAGTTATGTATACGGTGCAAATGCAACTTTTAATTTTATGGGGACAATGTTCGAGTTTAACAAAACCATTGGATGAAAAGTGTCATTAATTCTAAGAACATTTCTTAATTTATTCCTCTATTTTTAAATTTCTTTGTTCCTCTATCTTAATGTACTTCTAATAAATAAATTATCTCTTAAGATTCAATGTGACTTGAAATTTTCACATGATTTAATAATTGAAAGTACATTAAAACAAGAAGACATAGGAATCTAGAAACCAAGAATCTTTGGGCTTCAATTCAATTAACCTTACACTTGTGATCACACAAGTTACCAAAGAGCAAGATTCGTAGATCTTAGCTCAATAACCTAAAATTTAAGCCCAATCAATTCAAATGCATATATATATATATATATGGGCTTAATAGGGAACAACTGAAACATATGAAGTAGAAAGAGAGAGGAGAACAATCAGTGTGATTTCTACAACAACTATTAAAGCATTATAATTACTTGAAACTATATATCTAGGATTTTTGTGACCTAGGATTCGTAAGATCAAGGCTTAATAACATAAAATTTGAGCTTAGTCAGTTCAAATTCAATTAAATATGGGCTCAATAACTTCAATTACAGTTGTATGCATACATATACATGCAGTTAAGATGAATAATTATCAAAAATATAGAGAGAGAGGAGAAAGGAAAAAAAAAAAAAGAATTGGAGAGGGAAATACTACCATGAGAAGATATAGTGAGATAGATGTCTCCAAATGTCTTCACCAATCTTTTCGCTGGAGTTGACTACAAGAGAGAATCAGGAAGTGAAAGTGTTAAAACGAGAAGATGAAGTGTCAGGACATAGATAAGTGTGAGTAACAATTTATAGAGAAAAAAAATGATAAATAGCAACTTCTACATTTTGCAAAGTTTTTTCAACGTTAAACCTCCAAATTCCTACTATTGAGGCGTATAAACAAAGACATTTTTTTTTATTGGCAAAAAAAAGAAAATTTTATTGATGAATAACGAAGTACATCATACATCAAAGGAGATGGATGCATAAGCAAAATGATATCAGCTAGCTTGGCACCGTAAAACAAACCCAATCATCTCCAAGTATTTGGTGAGCAAACCAACTAAGAACAAAACAAAAACAAAACAAAAGATAGAAACAGCTCCTCTAATTCCACCCAATCAGCCATTCCATGTTCCAGGTGCATTCCAACCATCCCCAGCTTGACAAAACCACTGAAGAACATATCCTTACCAACAAGAAATAGCTAAGCTTTCGACAGTCCCAATGCAGAATCAACCACAGTAAATCATACAAGCACCAAGGCACCACCATAAGACAATGCTAACAAAAGAACCATTACCAATCTGTTGTAAATTCAAGATAAAGTCATTAACCGAATAGAAACGCCCATGTGAATGAGCCTTCACCCAAATCGCCACTTGAACTTTCACCATCCCATGTAGGTCCTCCAAGATTGGTTGTTTTCCATTAAAGACACAATCATTTCTACTTTTCCACACAAGACCATAACAGAGCACTACGAATGGAGCTCCAAATCTGCCCTTCCAGTTTCTGAAACTTGAAGCTCGACCACACGAAGGGGCACAACAACAATATATGATTCACAGTAGGCTTAGGGGTTGGTTGTATGGGTGCGTATAGCAGTAGTAGGAGTATTTTTATACTTCCGAAACTCTTTCGATGCATGCCATCTTCCTGTACTTTTAATTTCATACTGTTAAATGAAATTTTTCTTTGCTGATCAAAAAAAAAAAAAAAAATTTTGTTTAATTCCACAATTTATGGCAAGTAAAACTAGGTGACAAAAATATCTTTAAATGGGACAATAGAAAAATGATTGATAACATCAAAATCACATGAACGAATATCATAGATAATAAGACAAATAGAATATAAAAATCACAGATCATGCTTTTAACTGTTATACTAAGCAATAATTTTAGTACATTTTATAGTATAACTTGAAAAACCATACAGTAATATGCAACCAGGCAGCATAGCAAATAGCATAAGACCACATCAGTAAGGAATAGATAGAGCAGCAGCTGGTAGTAAAGCATATAGCATCAAGATACAACAAAAGGAGCAGAAAAATCCCGCCGGGATAGGCTTCAAAAGTGCCTTGGCTCGAGCGACGGATCCTTGGCTCGAGCGAGGAATACACTCTTTCAGGTTTTTGTATGGACGCAATCCTTGGCTCGAGCGCGCATTCCTTGACTCGAGCGAGCAAGCCCTAGCTCGAGTGAAAACTCCTTGGCTCGAGCGAGCAACGACGGACATGCAATTTTGAATGCAATTTTGCATTTTTCTTCAGCCGCGGGCTGACCGGGCAGCTCGACCCCCGTAATAATCAGCGAAGTGGCAATCTTGAAAGCATTAACATCACAAACTTCTTTGCATGGTTCGATTCGGGTTTGGATTCGCATCTAATAAACTCATAGCCTCACTGAAATAAAAAAGTGCGAAAAAATAAATTACAACTCAAAGGAGTTTTGTCAAACGGGATTGCCAAGAAATAAAACCTAACACTATTCTTTGCAAGAAAACAGTTGTTTTTACCCTGCCTTTCCATGCTAGCCAAGTGAAAAGTTTTACTTTGGGTGGAGAAGAATTAATCCAGATCGACCATGTGACATAGAGCTTCGGTCCACACTCGATCTGAAGCCTCATATAGCCGCTGAACAAACAGTGAACCGTCCTGAATAGGATGCGAGCCATCTAATGTTATCCTCCACACCATTCCTTGATCTGGGTCCATCACCTAATAACTCACAAAGTCGTAAAACCTCCTCATTTTCCCATGCAAATAGATTTCTTCGAAATTGCAGATTCCAATTGCAAGAAGTTCCTTTCCTATCCATAATCATCTTTACGCTGTGTTTGGTTGGAGGATTTGAGGAGGGGTTTGGAAAGAGAAAGGAAAAAGTTAGGTACATTTCACCTAGTTTCACACACCTTTTCCCTTTCCCTTTCCAAATCCCTCCCCAAATCCCCCAACCAAACACAACATTAAGGAACCCTCTTTTTCAGAAGACAAAACTATAGAGTCTAGGAAATTCCTCATTAAGACAATTCCCCCTCATCCATTTATCAGTCCAAAAATGTCTTCTAACCCGGTTCCAATTCACAATCTCAATGTTTGACAAATAAAAGTCTAGCAGAGTAGGATTGGAAGAAATAACATTTATAATATCATTCTAAATTTTAGAGCAAGAAACTGATACCTCTTGATTAGGAGACCATCCGCCACCCTTAATCTCATATCTACTGCACATAACCCTTTTCCAGAGAGCATTATCATCTGTTCCGAACCTCCACCACCATGTGAGAAGTAAGCAAACATTCATCTGATTTTTCTGATGCCCAAGCCACCTTGGTCTGTGCCTGTACATAAACAATGACACATTGATAGAATTTTTAATATAAAGTTCCTGAAGAAAAACAATCTATGAGAAGTATGACATTTGTGACATCTTAGAAAACACTGATTTAGAAACACCGTGGCAGCCACTTTTTCTTGTTGTGTAGAACGAAATTATAAAAATTGTTCATGAGCTGGTAAAATCAAATTATCTCTGAGTCGCAAGATTACTGTGAATAGTAACGTGGTCCAACTGTAGGCTTGATAAAAAGTAATGGTACAAAGTAGAATGAGCATACATATTTCATTAATTATAAAAAAAATAAAGGACTACTAAGTCAAATAAGTAACATGTTTTGGGTATTATATTTTATATTGACTCTATTCCCTTTTCCAGGAATTTCTACACATGTGATTACCTTCGAGGTTGGCGCAAAGTTGCAAGATTCATTGTCGCAAGCCCCTTCATACTGTTTTAGTCACGACAAAGAGCTGAGAATGTTGAAGGCTAAAAGTCCTGTTAGTGAAGGTTTCCTTAATGCAAAGAATGTTGAAAATGTTAATTTATACTTTTTCTAGATTGTAATTAAGTTGGGTGGCATGTTCTTCTCTTAAAAAAGTGCGTTTAAATAAATATATATGTAAAAGAATATGTAATGTTCATCTACCGGTATGAAATATATTGGTTAGAATCTTCTTTGTAATTTTATGTGGTAACAATTGAAATATCAATAACATGAAAAATATATTATATTATATTTTAAATGTCAGAGTATGGACTGATGTATTGTCATGGTGGGGTGTTCAATGGGTACTGCCAGAATTGATTCACGCTTTGTTAAATTGGTGGATCGGATTTAAGTTCGAGAAGGTGGTTAAGAAAATTTGGGAGGCATTACCTTGTGCGGTGATATAGTCTATTTGAAAGGCTAGGAATGAGTTCAAATTGAAGGGGAAAATTGTGAATTGGGAGGATTTGCAAGAGTTGATTAAGGTAAGAGTAGCTCTATGGGTGCATTATACTGTTAGGAAGGTGGATTACTCTCTGAATGACTTGATATATAGTAGGGTGAGCAGCGGATATTTCGATCCACCTAAATTGACGAAACCGAACCGATCCGCTGCATTCTGGACAGATGCGTGATGACGAGCGGACAATTACGGATTGATTTTTTTGAACAGATGGCGGATTTGAGGTTCCTTTAGCTGCAACCAAACCACCAAACCGAGAGCACTCCTATTAATTTATAAGATTTTGTGTTTTCAATTTGTTTAGATATTCTGTTTGTATTTTCAATTGAAAAAGAGTTTAAATATTCTATTGTATTTTCAATTTGTTTTCAATTTGAAAATCCTTTTATCAAATGGCAAATGTTAGTATTTGGTATTTTTGTTGAAAAATATAAGGCTTAATTTTTTTATTTTTTTAAAAAATCAAATTAAGTAGTTTTTTAATGTAAAAAAAGTAACCATATAATTTTGATAATGCATGGTTTTCTTATATGTATTTATTATTGGTATTTGGCAATTTACTTGATAATCTTTTGGTTATGTTGAGTTAGGTTGTTATCCAAAAAAAAAATATGTTGATAAGTTGTTGTATTATATTCAAAATTTGTAAAAGTTTAAACTGCCGAACCGATTTGCATCCATCCGCCAATCTGCTGAATGCAGATTGATTTTTTCAAATCTGCCAATTCGACGAACGGATGATGGATTAAAGATTTTCTGGCCGCAATCGAACTGCGAACACCCCTAATATATAGGTTGCAATCCATAAAGAAGAGATGAGTTTGGGCTCAGATCAGTGAATTCAAAGGAAAGCAGCAGAGTAGGGTGCAGCTCAGTCCATGGCTTGGTGCTTGGTGGCATATCCCCAGCTCTGTTTTTGTGGTTGGCTCAGGTTGCTGCTAGTGGTGGTTATTATTGTTGGTGTTGTGTTGTTCCCTTGGGTTTTGCTTATTTTGGGTTGTTGGATTTTTATTTTGTCGTATTATGTCAGAGTTGGTTGCCCATCAACTCGTGGCGTAGTGCTAGCATGTGATGGAGCTTTAGTTTCAGTGTCAACCTAATTGGGATGGATTTGTTCTGCCATGATGCTTCTGCACTTGCCTTCTTCATTGATGTATAATTTGGTGTTTTGTACTTTGATTATTCATTAATAAAATTTCTCTTTTGCTAATTGTTAGGTTTTTGTAATTGGCAATCTCAATTGATAAAATTTCTTTCAGTTGTAATTTTATTCACTCTTATGTTTCAGTGAGGATGTGAATGTTTACATGTGAATCGAATCCAAATTGTGCTTATACAGAGGAGTTTATGATCTTGAGGCATTGATGTTTGCCACTATGCTGACTATGTACGGGGAATCTAGTACTTTTGTAGAGCACCTGAATTTATGGGAAGAAAGTTTTACTGCTCGAGTGGTGAAAGTAGCGCTCGAGCGGTCAGCTTATATGTTTTGCACCGCCTTTACTTACACTGCTCGAGCGGTCTTCATGGTCCAATTTACTACAAAGTGCGCTATTTGCTCGTTTTAGGGTTTGAACTGTCCAGATTTTCAAAGAGGAAGAAAAAAACAAAGTGTTTTATATTTGAGGGTATTTTATCATTGTTTCCTTGATGATTTAAAAGTGATCAATGGACCCATGAACTTTATATCAACATCTTTAAGAGGTTTTTTTGTTTTCTTTTATTCGCATAAGAGAGAGTTGTTCTTCAGTAGATTCTAGAGAATTTGGGCCTGAAGCTTTGGTGGATTCCAGACTGGCTCATCGTCGTGTTGTGGATTCAACATTGGACAAGACAATTTCGAGGTGAAGACGGTGGTGGAAGAGGCACATCGGGTATGGTTCAATTCGGACGTGAATTCGCTAAGTAATTGATGATACACTTCTGTAATTCATTTTTATCTTCTTAATGGATTATTTTGTGGCTTTGGCCCGTGATTTTTAATCACAATTAGAGGCGCTCCAATTGTGATTTTTTCCACGTTAAATCATTGTGCTAATTTATCTATAATTGTTTGATTGGGTTTGTTATTCATTGCTTAAAATTGAAAAATAATCACGAATCAATATCTCAGAAATTATTTAGATTTTTCACTAATAAAAAAAATATTTTAAATGTCCTATCTTTGAGTATTCTTCTATTTTGTTACAACTTCATGGAAAAATATCTTGTGTGCAACCCTTAAAAGGTGTGTATGATACACACTTTCTGTCATGATCCAAATCTACCCCTAAAGGTTTAGGCCATGACTAGCCAGTAATCCTAGATTACCTAGCTTCAAAGGCAAATCAGATAATTAATAATAATAAATAGGGCATTACGGAAGCATTAATAGAACATAACTATGTCCATCGCGTGGTACATACATGCAAATTCACAATTATTTAAAAATTAAAACTCATACATCCATTCTTATATACATATGTAGGTACAACACAGCTAGTTAAACTTCTTACACATAATAATCATTCAAAACAAAACCCCAAAGAACAAAAACAAAATAACATAAACCAAGGGTTGACACGGCTTAGCTCACTCGAGGCAAGTACACCCCATCACGGAGGCACTCCAAAACAGCTTCACAAAAGGTGAACTCCTGAGGTTGCTCTAAACTTGACACTCCGTTTGCTCACTTACATATATGAAAGGAAAGGGGTGAGCTAAAATCCAGTGAGTAATATCAGTATAAAGAGGTTAAATAGATGATATTTATTATAATATAAAATCATATTTTATGAGTTTCGAAACAAAGCATAATTAAGTACTTGTCATATCAAAGTTTACAAATCATACTTATATGTGGTACATCCAATAGCGCAAAGCAAAGGGCCCAAAAGCATATTAAAGGGACCTTTAAGGTCAACAAAGGAACCACATAAGTCTAAACAAATGGACCATACAGGTCAAGCAAAGGGACCACTTGGGTCAACATCAGAGATCTTTGTGCTTATATAAGGGCCTTGGTATTGTTTCCCCCATGCATGGGCCTTATTAATGAAGGGCCACGATATTGTTTTTCTGAATGAGGGCCTTATTAACAAAAGGCCACGGTATTATTTTCCTTGGGCAAGGGCTTTACTGAAGGATGCCACAATTACTTTTCAAATAAGACAATCATTCATTCTTATCAAAATAGTATTTCAAAATAACATTGTTGCAATAATTCAAAAATACATTTCAGCATATCTTTACAAATATACTACTCATAGTGGGCTGGCATAGGTATTGGACCTCAGATAACCACCTACACAAAACACATAACAAAGATACACATCAAAGCGTTCGTTTAACAAATCATGTGTCTTAATTCAACTCGCTTATGTGTGTTTCTAGCTTATTCCATGGCTAAGGATCTCTAAATGATGCTTAAGAATGCCTAAAAGGGCATGAGGATGCAAATATGCATTTATGAGTGTTTGCCAAAAATTGCTGAAAATAGGATTTTCGCTCGAGCGCACCTTTGGTCGCTCGAGCGATGTGGCCTAACCACAAAAGTACTGGATGGTGTCAAAGTAGACTTGAGCCATCACTTGGTCGCTCGAGCCAACTACAAATGTCTGTAAAAATGCTGGAGCATGCAAAGTGCGCTCAAGCCACGGATCCACGCTCGAGCAAACTGGATGAATTCTGGGTTTTCCATATTGCATTTTGGAGTTCAAAAGTGGGTCTTTCATGTTCAAAGCTTGCATGGTTTATAAGGACTTGAAGAAACTCTTTTTGATGCATGAATTCATTGAAATTATGAAACCATATTCTCAAATTCTCTTTCAATTCTCCAAAACAAAGCTCAAAACTCAATGTTCTTGCCATGCATGTAATGTTTTGAATTTCTTTTCTTTCAAACCCTGATTAAATGAGATGAGAAGTGTAGAAACATGAAAAATCCCTTAAGTTAAAGTGTAAAAGTTCCATGCATGCAAGAATTTGTAGAAAATCAAACTCAAGGGTGAAGAATTTTGCATACATGTGCACAATTGACTCATTTCTTCTATAATCAACTTGATTCTAGCATTCTTTCCCCAATTACATGCAAATGATCCTACAAGCTTCATAAATTCAACTTCTACATGGATTATTTATAAGAATTAGGGATGATAATCTTACCTAGAGCTTGAATTTAATAATTAGTAGCTTAATCTCTTAAAATCTTCTTCAATCCCTACAATCATTCCTCTCTCTCTCTCTCTCTAGAAGTTGGTCTCTTCCTCTCTCTATATTCTTAGCCACTTTGTTGAACATGAAGAAATGATCTCAAATGTTTAAGACATACACACACACACATATATAGAGAGAGAGAGAGAAAGAGAGAGGGATATTAGATTAGGTTATTTAATCTAGATCAGGCTTAATTAATCCTAATCAAATCTAATTGATTTATTCTAATTATTTTGATTCTAATCAAATTTTAATGAAATTTGCTCTATGGTTCTAAATATTTCAATTAGCCTATTGAGCTAGTCAATTTTGGTTTTTGAATCCATCTAGGTTTTCAATTTCGAATTCTAAGTCGGCATTCTAACAGATATTTCATAAGCAAACAGATAGACACAAATTAAGCAAACCTGAAGAGGTGTATTTGTAATTTACTCTTTAATCAAACGAATAGACTAATAAGGGTCATTTGGCATGCAAAGTTGGGCCTAATTTAGTTAATAGAAATAAAACAGATCATATTAGCCAATAAGACAAAATA